TGCCTTTCAAAAATAAACCAGTTATACAGGAAAAAAAAAAAAAAGAATTCCCAGTTTAAAAAAATCTTTCTTTGTAAGAGCTTTACTGAGGAATTTTACCAAACATTTAAGGAATAATGGTAACAGTTTTACAGGAAGCCTTCCAGAAAAGATGATACGCAAGCTAGACAAAGATAATACAGGAAAGTGGAACTACAGACCAATGTCTCCTATAAACACAGATGCAGCTGCTTCACACTCTTTCAGGATTAAATGTAAGAATATAGAAAAAGTATATTGCCTCGTGGTCAAGTGTGGTTTTATTCCAGACATGCAAGGTTGGTTTAATCGATGTAGATTATACTAACAGCTTAAGGAGATGCACCGTGCGATCACCTCCATATGTGTAGAAGCATTTGAGGAAAGTCAATATCTATTCGTATTACACACCATCAGTACACAGGGAAGAGGCAAACTTCATTTCTGAAAAAAAAATCTGCAGATCTCTGTATTTAATGCTACAGCTAACAGTGAGACGGACTGCTTTGCTACTCCTTCTCATTCGTTTTTTCTCCCCCTTTTTTTGGTGGCAGAAACCCCCCAAAATGTGAGCCATCCCAGCCGCCTCCAGGGTTTGAATGAAGAGGGAACTTGAGTCAAGAGCCGGGGTTGGGTATTGAACCCAGGTACTCCACTCTGGAGTCTCAGCCAGTGACCGCACTGGCTGGCTGAAGGGCTGCTCTGCGGCCTCTGCCGCTCCGGGCACTGCGGCAGGGAGGGCATCCAGCTGGCTGCGGAGGAAGTTGTGGCTGCTCTCAGCTGACCTGACTGCCCACACAGCTGTCCTATGGGATTCACCAAGAAGCCAGCAGAACAATTCGCTAGTCTAGCAAGATTCTAGTGCCCAAGATCCATATACAACACAGATTATATCAATTCTCTATACAGCTACACACAGCCAGCAGGTGAAATGTAAGAAGAAACAACCCACTTGCAACAGCCACAAAATATGAAGTAATTAGGAACATTTCCTATGCAATATATGCAAATTCTGTGTAATGAAGACTGTCAATGCAGCTGAGAGAAATTAAAGGTGACCTAAATAAATGGAGGGCATCTTGCTGTGCTCGTGGGTTGAAAGCTTCTAGGTTGCTTCGATGTCAACTCTCCCCAGTTGATTGTCTACCTTCATGAGACCCCCACCCCAATCAAAACCCCGCTGGCAGTCTTCTAGAAAGTGGCCAACTGAGAGGCCGGTGCTGTGGCTTGGTGGCTAATCTGCAAGTGCCAACATCCCATGTGGGCGCCAGTTTGTGTCTCGGCTGCCCCACTTCCCATCCAGCTCTCTCTGGCCTGGGGAAACAGTAGGGGATGGTCCAAGGCCTTGGGATGCTGCACTGATGTGGGCGACCTGGAGGACCCTCCTGGCTATGGATCAGCTCAGCTCCAGCTGTTGAGACCATTGGGAGAGCGAACCAGCGGTTGGAAGATCTATTTCTATTTCTCTCTGGTACCTGTGCAGATGGGCAGGAGTTTGAGCCGCTGCTACATCTCAGTCTTGGCAACACCCCCTGTTAGTTCCCTCCAAGGAAGGCTTACCAGGGCTTGCTTCAACACCGTGCTCACTGGCAGGTGAGCGTCCCCTGGGAGGCTTCTAGGTGCTGGTCAGCTCTGTGGCTTTGTGGTTCACTCCCTTCAGAACAGAAGCAAAGCCTGCCGCTGGCTTCACTGCAGCCGGTATGGCCCCAGCCAGGGGTGTCCTTCAGCTCCCAGTGCTGCTGCCAGCTCTGCTGATGCCTCCTCCTGCCTGGCTAGAGCCGTGTGGGGGGCTAGAGCCGTGTGCGAGGCTAGAGCTGTGTGGGGGGCTAGAGCCGTGTGGGGGGCTAGAGCCGTGGGGAGCTGGCAGCTAGGGCTTGTCCTCCTGTTCCTGTGCATGTCGTAAAGTGGCCCTTTGTGCCTTTTGATTCGGCCAGTATCCTGCCTTGTACGTTCTTACAAGTGTCCAGAAAGAAGTCCAAAGGATTTTTAATAATGGATTTCTTAAACTCGGATTTTGACAAAGCTGTGTGGGTGATTAAAATCGTTCCAGTCAACAGGGCTGGGAGAACTGGACATTGAGGAGCGAATCCAAAAGTGCTTCAGTCTGCACTTGACAGTACATCCGGAAATTAACTCCAATTGGGCCATAGACTCAAGCAGGAAACTTCCAGAATCACAAACGACAGAAAGAGAACCTAGCGATCCCGGGCTAGGCAGAGATTTTTTAAAAAATAAAGACACCATAATGGAATATAATCTATAAAAGAAAAACAGAGGGATATATTGGATTCCACAAAGCCTGAGGACGGGACAGCTGCTTGGCCTGGTGTTAGGAGCGCTGGTCGGGTGTGCCCCTGCTTGGCCTGGTGTTAGGAGCGCTGGTCGGGTGTGCCCCTGCTTGGCCTGGTGTTAGGAGCGCTGGTCGGGTGTGCCCCTGCTTGGCCTGGTGTTAGGAGCGCTGGCCGGGTGTGCCCCTGCTTGGCCTGGTGTTAGGAGCGCTGGTCGGGTGTGCCCCTGCTTGGCCTGGTGTTAGGAGCGCTGGTCGGGTGTGCCCCTGCTTGGCCTGGTGTTAGGAGCGCTGGTCGGGTGTGCCCCTGCTTGGCCTGGTGTTAGGAGCGCTGGTCGGGTGTGCCCCTGCTTGGCCTGGTGTTAGGAGCGCTGGTCGGGTGTGCCCCTGCTTGGCCTGGTGTTAGGAGCGCTGGCCGGGTGTGCCCCTGCTTGGCCTGGTGTTAGGAGCGCTGGTCGGGTGTGCCCCTGCTTGGCCTGGTGTTAGGAGCGCTGGTCGGGTGTGCCCCTGCTTGGCCTGGTGTTAGGAGCGCTGGCCGGGTGTGCCCCTGCTTGGCCTGGTGTTAGGAGCGCTGGCCGGGTGTGCCCCTGCTTGGCCTGGTGTTAGGAGCGCTGGCCGGGTGTGCCCCTGCTTGGCCTGGTGTTAGGAGTGCTGGTCGGGTCTGCCCCCGGCTGCAGCTCCAGATGCCGCAGCGGTGGGAATCCATCCCTGGCTCTAGCTTTCCTGCCATGCAGAGCCCGAGGGAGCTCTGACAACTGGAGCAGCAGGGTTCCTGTGCTCCCCGAGCTGGACCTGGGGTGGGCTGCTGCCTCTGCTCCGGTCCACTTGAACCCTGGCCATCCCTGGACACAGAGGGCACCGGATGAGAACATGTGTGCGCGCTCTCAAATATATTAATTTCATGTGATTGTCAAGACGCTAAGAGAAGAAAATACAAGGAAGAGATTGGGAGATAATTCTTGGAAATCGCATGTCTGACAAGAGGCTTGTATCTATAAAATACCAAGAAATCTCTTACAGGAAGACCATTAGCTTAATTTAAACAACGAGAAGAGCTGGCTAGACACTTCTCCAAAGATGTGGGTGGCTAACCAGCACACGGGCGGGGGTCCAGCGTCTCTTCTCAGAGGAAGCCATCCCCAGATTCCAAAATGGTGCTTCCACACACCCCGAGACAGTCCAAAGCTGACGGGTCCTGGTGCAGGTGGGGGCCAGGGAAGGCTCAGACATTGCCGGTGGGGTTATGGGGGGCCCACTAGAGTTCTAGCCGCTCAGCTTTTACTCCGCCTCCTGCGAAGGCAGCAGAGGCTGGCTCAAACACGGGAGCCCCTGCCACCCATGTGGGAACCAGGATGGAATTGGCTCCTGGACTGACCCACACATGGTCGGATGGAAGCATGCTCGCTCTCTCCTTCTTGCTAGTTTCTCTTCTTTCCTACCTTTCTAACAAATAGTGAACCCCCTTTTTTCTTTTTTTAGTGAGATCGCTTTGGCAATTTCTTCCAAGGTTATCTCCCCCTCCCCTTTAAAAAAATTTATTTGAAAGTGTTTTTTACACACACACACACACACACACACACACACACACACACAGAATCTTCTACCTTGTGGCTCACTCTCCACACGACAGGAACTGGGCTGGGCACAACCCAGAACTCGAACTCCCTCCAGTCTCCCGCGAGAGTGGCCACGGGCCCAGCTGTCTGCCGCCTGTCCTGGCGCTGCTGGGACTTCAACCTGCACTCATAGGATGCAGTCGGGGGGTTAACCCACAACTATGCCCAGCAAAAGTTTTCCTCATCTAACCACAAAGCTGAGAGCCCTGGCAACCCTCAGTATTTACCTGGGATGAACAGGTGCGCTGGCAAAGGCTGGTACCCCAGGTCCACTGCGCTTCCGTGAGTACCGTCCCCGATGGGGACCCAGACACAAACCCCTGGAGCATCCACACGGTGGGAAATGACCCCGTAGCCATCAGGAACTGGCTGGAGCTGGTGGTACAGCACAGCCCCATGTATGCTTCGGGGGAGGGAAACTGGACCCAAGCCAGCACCTTCAGCTCATAGGAAACCCCAGAACAAGCGGCGGCACTAGCGCGCAGGGGCATGAGCCAGCAGGGAGAGGCTGTGGGGTGGGAGGCAGCTTCGGGAAAATCCATCCCCCTACTTCCACTCTGGGGGCCTGGCTTTCCCCGCACTCTGCCCGTGACTTCGCTGGACGCCTATAGACGCAAGCCAGGGGCTAGGGTCTTCGGCTGAGAATGCATCTTAGGGCGCACTGGAAACCCTCCGCGCGCGCGGAATCTGCTGCCTCCCACCCCACCTCCTCAACTCTGACCCGCCCCCGCCCGAGGAGCCCACCGTTTATTTCCCACTGTGACAATTATTCTGCATAAAGTTGTCATTAAAACCCTAATTTTCCAGCCCTAGACCCGCCAGTGGCCTTTCAGCGTCTGCTGGCCTCCACTGCGCTCATTACCACGGCGTGGTGCCGCCTGCTCCCAGTGAGGGGCTGATGGCCCGCCCGGGAGGGTAGGGGGTGGTGGCGGCGGTGGGATGGCCCTGGCCTTGGCCGGGCAGAGGTACCAGGTCTGTCTCGGAGACTGAGACGGAGGTTGTGCCCAAGGCGAATCCGGGATCAGGGCTGATCTGGGGCCCGGTGTTCAGGACACTCCCAGGGGCCTGGAAGTCCTTACCCCAGCGAGGCTGCGGTGCGGCACAGGTGCAGGGGCGCCAGGCCCTCTGTGCTGGGCAGGTCCGGGTCTGCGCCATGCTGCAGCAGCATCTGGGCACAGGCTGTGTGCCCCAAGGCAGGCCTCGTGCAGTGCACCTCGTCCACCTGGGCTGGCACTGACGTGTGCACCGCGGCCCAGCAGGTGCTGAAGAGAGGCTGCGTGGCCGTGGGCCAACGCGATGCACAGGGGTGTGGTGAGCTCGCGCTTGTACTCCAGGGTCCAGAGTCCTAGGGGGAAGGGAGATGGAAGCTCAAAATTAAGTATGAGGTGAGTTGGGGCAGCCTGTGAGGCCAAAACTGCAGAGACAGGTGGCAGATGGGGACAGGAAGGGGGGCAGAGTGGGAGCCAGGCAGAGACCCTGAGCATCAGAGACCCTGGGGGCCGAGTGAGGGATGAGAGAGGCCGGAGAGAATGAAAAGGCTGAAGAGCAGTCCCATGCTGAGCTGCAGGAAAGCTGCACGATATGGGGGGACTGGGGGTCTCGGGAAGAGTCTGAGGTTAGGAGCTGACCGACAGGAGGCGCCGTGGGGCAGAGCGCACTTGTTCCAGGCTCAGCCAGCCAGATGGAAGAAGGAACCACAGATGTGATCTTGCCAGCATCCAACCCTCCCTGGGGGGGAGCCCCAGGAGACGGCAAAGCAGCCGCGTCCCCAGGCCAGCCAGGGGCTCTGTTCCCAGAAGCGCTCTTTGCTGTGGGTCGGCATTCAGCATGACCCTGGTTTGTTTCCTTTCCTGTGTGTGTGTGTGTGTGTGTGTGTGTGTGTGTGTGTGTGTGTGCAGCAATTGCTCTTTCTTGAGCGCTGAATGAAGCAGGTGCCATCCATTTCGCTTCTCTGAAAACTTTGGTGCTTTCAAAAAGCCCGGGGAAGGTTATTAGCGGCCGGGAGCACTGGTGGAGATGGGGGAAGCGGCCCTGGAGGCCGCACATCAAGGGGCAAGGTTTCACACGGCAGGAAGGCCTCCCGGTAATGCTGGGAGAATCGATCGGTGCTGTAATGAGCTGCACAGGATGCCTTTTCACAGGCCACCTCCTTCTCAGGACCCATGCTGCGCAGCTCTGAAAGACCACTCATTAATTACCGCCCTGCATGGGGTCCCCAAGGCCCAGCCTGGAGCTGCCTGCACTCCTCGTGGTGTGTGTGTGTGTGTGTGGGGGGTGGAATCTGGTGTCCCTGGTGAGGGGTGTCCTGGGGCTCTGGGAACGGGCTCTGCGGGATCTGGGTTGGATGTGGAGGAGGAGGGTGGCTGTGGTCGTGGATACATGTGCCTCCATGTGTGCCTTCTGTGTGTCTCCCTGGGATGTGTGTGCCTCTTCCAGGGCATGCCAAGTCCCCAGCGCCACCCCCCTGCTCCCATCCTGCGTACTGTTGGGAAGCACCCTGGGTGGGTGTGAGCTCGGCCACAGCGTGTGGCCTGCACTCTCCTCCAGGTCCTGGGAGATGCTGATGAGCAGCCAATGGGCTTTCCAGAGAACCTGCCGGGCTTCTGCTGTGGCTGCCCCAGTCGGAGAAGCCTGTAGCTGCTTCTGGTAACCCCTCTTTGACCCCCAGGAGGCCTCTGTGTGGTTGAGCCTCCTTGCCAGTGCCCTACTGGGACTCTGAGCTGGGTGAGCCAGCACCCACCATGGAGCTGACCCAGAGCTGGCTGCAGTGAGAGCTGAGTGAATGCCGTGTACCCTTGATCCCTGTCTTCCAACACAGCCTCACGAAGGCAGCTGGCATTGACCTCCAGGGAACGAGGGGTCATGGCATACAGACCTTGTTCTCCAACAGTGTCCATCCATTTCCATTGCTGGCCCCACGCAGCATGGACTGGAGTCCATGGAACTGAGTCACAGAATCAGCACCAGTCATCCCTTAGCGCTGCCTTCCCTCCATCCAGGCTGTGCCAGCCCAGCCGGGGACCCACTCTCCCAGCCGCTGCTTCCGCAGTATCAGCCCATGTCCTGCTCTGTGCGGCGCTGCCACTTTCTGACCTTGGGGTGTGGCACCGAGAAGCAGTGGAACCGAAGGGTTGGAGGGTGCAAGGAAGAACTAGGTGGTGTGCAGCAGCGGTCTTCACATTCAGATCTACCTGAGTGTGTCCTGGGTGGCCAACAGGTGCTTTGGTGCTGTGACGCAGCAAATTAAGCCAGCACCAGCAATGCTGGCATCCCATGTGTGCACCATGTGGAGTCTCAGCAGCTCCACTCCTGATCTAGCTCCGTGCTAATGCACCGAGGAAAGCAATGAAAGATGGGCTACCTGCTTGGGCCGCTGCGCTGTGTGACAGGCCTGGAGGAAGCTCCTGGCTCCTGGCTTCAGCCTGGTTGAGCCATGGTGTTGAGGTTGTCTGGGAAGTGAGACAGCAAACGGAAGATCTTTCTCTAACTCTGCCTTTGAAATATATTTTTTCTTTTAAATAATAAGCTAGAGTTTCATTGGGAGTCCATCTTTGATTTGGAAGTAGGGATGCCTGTTGCCTTGTTGCTTTCACATCTGGATATGGAAGTCTCCATTACTCCATCACTTTACATTCCAGTTTGCATGATGGATTCCTTATATTAGAGCGAACAAAGCATTTGTCTTCTTGGGATTGACTTATTTCACTGAGCATAAGGGTCTCTTGTTGGGGCCATCTAGTTGCAAATGGCATAATTTCATTTTCAGTGGCTGAGTAGTGTCCCATGGAATAGATGTAACAGTTTCTTTAGCTGCTCTTCAAATGGACATTCGGATTGTTCCCAATGAAACTGTTGGACAAATCTAGACAATGGGATGCTGGACTGTCTGACATTGTCTGTACCAGCAATGTCGGGGCACACTTACAACAGACTGATGGAATTATAACTCCTTATGGAGGACTACAGGGAGAGGAAGCTGGGTAGGCTTCCCAGACTCTACGGAATTGTATCATAAAATTCAAAATTAAGAATAGAAAAAATACATTATAGGCTAGAGTGTAGAGTGTCAAGTGGCTGGCTGGCATTCTTGGCGGGGGCAGGTGAAAGGGGAGCCCAGGACTCCAGGGGAGGTGGGCAACCCACTCGGAACTGACTCTTGCCCCCCCCACAGCTTCTGGGGCCACATGGGCTGCTGGGAACCACTGAGCCCTTTAATGGTGTGGGAGGCATAAGCAGAATAGTGGAAGCCTGCCCGAGCGTGCCAGCCAGGACCACTGGCTGCTGGCTGCAGATCCACTGACCACCCAAGCTCGCCAGTCAGGGACATGGCAGCAGGCCGTGCACCCACTGACCACTCGGGCTCACCAGTCAGGGACATGGCTGCGGGCCATAGACCCACTGACCACTCGGGCTCACTGGTTGGGCCATGGCCGCAGGCCACGGACCCACTGACCAGACTCTCTAACCCTTTTGGCCTGGTACAGCTGCTGTGGATTCCAGCACACGAGCCCTCTGGAGTCTGTCAGGTGTACCCACTGCAAACTGCCAGTCAAGAAAGTGCTGGAGTTGGCAGGTGTTTCTACACACCTACCCAGCCCACAGTGAGCACACCCTGGCAGCCAGGAAGCCTTCAGACATGTGACTTAAGGAACCCTGCTTTTCTCCCTCTCCTCCCCCTGATCCAGGCTCTCCCAGGCCCTGGTGAGGAGCAGTCTTCCCTCTGTGGATGCCAGCTGGGCACTGCTGTGCATTCATGGCAGGAAGGACCTTGTGCAGAGCTGTGCCCCAACCACCTGCCCAGGACGCAATCTCGAAGGAGCCACCTTCCTCTCCTCCTTGCTGGCTGCACAGACAAGTCTTCTAGCTTCTTCCTCAAGGCAGGAGCTGCCCTGGCCTCCGCAGACGTGTCTCAGCCGCTGCTTTGCCTGTCCCCCTGGACGGCTCATGTCCCGTGTACCCAGAGCCTGCCCCACCCAGCCTGGGCCCTCTCCTCGAGGCACGCAGCGCTATGCTCGGCACGTAGTCTGCATACGGGGGAGTTGTCAGTCACTGCAAAACTCCCAACAAGAGCTTTAGGCAGGCACAGGTACCTGAGAGGCCAAACATGGCCAGGGCCTTCACCTGCCACTCCAGCTCCTCTGCGTGGATCTCCAGCACCATGTTGGTGTCCTGGAAGTACTCGTCCATGAGGGCCCGGACACGGTGCAGGTCTCCTGTGACCAGCGCTGCGTGGTACTCAGACCCCGGGGACTCCGCTCTGAGCAGAAGCTCTTGGTCCAGCTTCCAAAAGATTCGAAGCCTGTCCCTGGCTGGCCCTGGCCTGCTGGCCATTGCCGAAGCAGTCCCTCTCAGCCAGAAAGCCCTTCAGGAAGGGGAAAGACGGATGCATGGAGCGGGAGCTATTTCCATTGTCATGACTCAATTGTCCTGCCGTTGGGGCTTGATGTTGGTGTATTTATAACTCCTGTGGGCTCCGGTGTAACATGGTTATTTGAGCTGGGTGGGGTCATGTGACCGCTGAGGATCACCCCCAGACGATGAGGATGCTGGCAGCTATCAGGGCAGAGACGTGCACACACAGCCAGTCGGGAGGGCTCGGCTCTGTATCCTGAGCGCTCGCTTCTTCAGCTGAAGCACACCCAAGTCCTCTGCCTGTTGTGGTTTGAGTGAGCAGCTTGTATACTGACCTCAGTGACCCAGGAGCCACTGAGCGGGTTTGCCGGTCTGAAAGCGAGTGCCTCGTTTAGGATGTGGGAAGGGCGTCTAAAGTCAGAGGGACGAGCACAGAGCTGGGGAAGTCGCAGGTGAGCCTGCATCTCTACCCCACGACAACCAGGAGCAGGAAGCAGTGTGGCTGAGCCTGCGTGGCTCACAGGATCTCAGTGTGATCGGGGCCATGGCCACAGCCTCTCGGAGCCGCTTCCTGCCTGCCAGGCCGTGCCATCCGCTTTCTGCTCGGCCCAGCTCCCTTCGAGGCAGACGCAGACATGACAGTTCTGACCCACCAGGCAGTGGGAACGGCGGTGAGGCTGTGCCGTGTGTGCAGGCCGTGGAGCTGTGTGACGCTGCCTGAAGCTGGGAGGAGGAGGCTCGGACTGGCCTGTGACCCATGCTGGAAGTCTGAGCTCCTAGCATCAGTGTGCTGCTGATTGCCCAAGGTCAGCAGGTCTCTCCCCAGAGGGGATCTAGGTTACTTCTAGGGGTGTGGAGTGCAGGGGTGAGGCTGGCCGGCCAGCTGGTGCTCTGCCATGCCATCATACACCCTGAGAGTGGAAGAATGCGGGGGCAGCTCCGGTGACTTGGTCACAGTCTGGGCTTTTCCCTGCCTCCTGCCTCAAGACTTTGCTCTGAGGCTGCGGGGCGTGTCCCAGGGCTGCCTCCCTTGTCTTTGGCATTGTCACCTGCATATGCGGCGCCTCAGCCCAGGACCAGGGTGTCGGGGATGCCTGCCCTGGTCCCCTGCATTCCCAGGCCTCTGCCTATGCAGTGCCCTCTCCTGCAGTTCTGTCTCCCCTCTCACTGCCTGCTCACCCTCGACGAACCTCTGGCACTCAGCACCCCCATGCCCTCCACCTGATCCCTGTGGGATGCTTCCTGAAGTCTGTCCTTGTCCCCTGATGGTGCCCTGCCCCTCTGCCCTGCTGGCCTCCAGCTGTGTCTCCTGGAGCATCCCTGCCGTGCCCAGGGCATCACACACAGAAGTGCTTGGTCTGTGACCCCATCACACTTTCTCAGCGCTCCCTCCTCTGAACTGCGGCCCTCTGCTGCCTTTTTCTGCCCGGAAGCACGGCACAGGAATGGCCAGGGGGCCTCTCGGAGGCTTGGTCGAGGGCTTTGTCCAGACATTCACTGCCCAGCCACCCTGTCAGAGTGCAGGGCTGCTTCCCGAGGCCTCCCGAGCCTGTGTTCATCTGACACTGCACGGGGACTCTTAAGATGTTGTTGCTGAATACTTGTTTTTGAAAGCAGAGCCACAGAGAGGAGCAGAGAGAGAAAGATTTCCTTCTCTGGCTTACTCCGCAAACAACTGCAGCCGGAGGTGGTTGCCAAGCAGCCAGGATCCTCCTTCCGGGTTGTCCTCGTGTGTGCAGCGTCCTAAGTGCTTGGACCTGCCTCTGCTGCCTTCCTCGGCGGTGAGCAGGGAGCTGGTTCAGGACTGGAGCAGCCGAAACACAAACCAGAGCTGCAACCGAAGCTTAGCCTACTATGCCACATGCCGGCCTCTTGTTTCTGCCTTTTAAAATATGCTTTCTTATTTATTTGCAAGTCAGACAGAAAGAGTGCCGGTACCCAGGTCCTTACAACAGCTGGCCAGCTAGCTCTCCCCTCTGAGTGGCAGGCACCCGATGGCCACTTGACCCATCGCCTGCTGCCTCCCGGCTTGGCATCAGCAGAAGCACGAGGCAGGAGTCAGAGCTGGTGACAGATCCACGCACTCCCCGTTCGGGGTGCAGGAGTCTGACTTGTCGGGCCAGACCTGCCTTGTCTCCACCCTCGGAAGAAAAGGCTGAGTCCAAGTGGACTGTGGAGGGCCTGGGTATTGATGGGTGACCGAGAAGGGGCAGGCCAGGGTTGTGGGAACTGGCGGTCTCCTCTGCCCATGCGCGGGAAGGTGCAAGGGCCTGCAGGCTGCGGGGGCTGGGGGGCCGCTGCCCCAGCAGGTGAGCCCTGGGCATGTCCTCCCTCCCTCCCTGCACTGAGCACTGCTCAGGGCCCTGCCTAGGGAACCCCTCTCTCCAAGTGCAGCCCTGCTGCTGGCTTTGTTCCCCCTCAGGCGGATTGTTTGTGATTACAAAGATTTCTGAAGGACTGGCTCTAGCAGGTCGGGACCAGGATCCAGCTGGAGCCTCCAGTGCCCCCTCGGCCGGAGGGGGCTCACAGTTACTGGTCACCGGTTATTTTTAGAGGGTGGGGGCTGGGAGGTACATCCAGAGATGAAAGCATTTCCTACTAAATTTAGCTGCCCAGGCGTGCTTGTCAACAGCTTCACGAATTACAACTGAGCTGGCGTCCAGTGTGAAGAGGGAGAGCTGGAACTGTCTCCTTGTAGCTTTGAACATCGTCCGGGGGCAGGACGGCCTCCTGAGTGGCGTCTCTGGGGTGACTGAGTGTGGCTGAGAGCTGCTGTTTTTTGTTTAAGGGACAAGAATAGCCACATTGTTGACCAGCACGGTGACCAGACAATGGAGCTAGACACCTACTCATCTGATACTTAGGGGACTTGGTGTCCTGGGTGTGTTGGAAGGTTGGAGTGACTCCGAGATAAAAACTCGCCATGCCTCTGCCTTCAAGGACTGTGCAGGGAGGACTCTGCCGCTGGAGGACGCCAGCAGGGGCGACGTTTTTTTCATCCTTCCTGCCAGCAGGGCGGCGGCACTGGGTTTCTCAGTGCTCTCAAGCTAGCTGCTCCTCCACCTGTGCTTGCTCCGTCCAGACAAGTTCATCTCCTGCTTGTCGGTTTTCTCCTTTCCCAGTGTGGCAAAGCCAACGTGCAGCCTCAAAGCGCAGCTCGCAGCTCCCCTTGCCTGGTGACTTCTGTCCACATGAGCTTGTGAGGGTGGAGTGCTTGTTCAGATCTTGGCAGGCGTGTGATGTAGACCAGAAGACTGGAGTTTCCCAAATGGAAAGATCAGGGTCCTTTAAAGGAACATCTGGCTAAGTTATTCCACCTGCAGAAATAACATGCATGTTACCATCACAGCTGTGTCAAAACTTTGGGTGTAAAGTATGGTCAGTTAAGCATTTTAAAAAAATACCACTGGCCGGACTCCAGCCCTAGCGACTCTGGGGGGCTGTGGTTGGAGCCTGGGCCCCAGGACTGCTCTCAGAGGCCCATGCAAGAGCCGCTAATGGGCTGCTGTGGCCGAGAGCCACTGCTTGCAAGGACAGTCGTTCTCCTCTTCAATGCCAGCCTCATCTTGCAGTGCCGTGTAGGAGCATGGGCGAAGAAGGGTGGGTGGCATGTGGTACAGAGCCCGACACGGTCAGGTGCCCCAGGCTCTCAGCTGAGCATGAACAGGCTTGGAAATGGAGCAGCCAGGACTCCGACTGGCATTCTGACAATGGGATGCTGGTGGCACCACAATGCCAGCCCCTCTTTCCCGGTCTTGAGGTGCCAAGGTTGAATTCGGGTGGCATGAATGTAGTGAATGAGCTGAGGGGCTCAGTCCCTGACTTTCTGGGCCCCCTCCGGGCTGAAGGAGGGCGTGTTCTGCAGCCAGTCATTCCCTTTGCTGAGTCACTTGTATTACACACAGCATGTTTCGGAATGTTCCAGGTTCTTCCTCTGTCTCTCCTCCTCTGTATATCTGTCTTTCCAGTAAAAATAAATAAATCTTAAAAAAAAGTTGCAGGAAATATGTAATGAAGAGTATGAGTTTATTTTGGTGCAAAAGTTTCAGTGTGGTGGTACGTGGAAAATGCATATCGTGAAAAAAACACGCAAGGATGAACATTTCCTGCGATGGGACTCACGCATGATCGCGGTCGTGTCCCAGCAGCCACGAGTCCCAGCTCATCCCAGGCTTTCTGCTCCCAGCCTTGCGCTGACAGGACAAGTGTCTCCCGGGGAATCACGCAGCCTGGCCTCGCATGGGGCCGGCAGGTTCAGAGCAGGGCCGGGGCTGTCCGCACAGCAGTGCTCGCCGCGCCTTCAGGCTGCGGTATCCCTGCCCCTTTCCCCCTCGGTTCTGGTGTAGGGCCGGGGCTTCTGTGCTTCCTCTGTCGGGCTTCTTTCTGGGGTCAGTCAGCATCCCAGGACGTTATCAGACCGGGTTGGACATGGCAGCACTCTGAGCATACTTCCTTATCCACGCCGTTGCCCTGTGTTAGCCCGAGCAAGTGTGCGCCTTCAAAACAAACTGTGAACCACCACAGACAAGGGGCCGCTAGATCCTGGAGTCACCACACTGTGAGGCCACCTGCTCTGCCTTCCTACGCCAGATCCAGTTCTTTCTTTCTGTTTTTCTTTTCTGAGTTTTTTCTCGTAAAGCAAGAAGCTGGGCAGGGGTGTCTGGCTCTGTTGTGCTAGCTCGCAAGACGCAAGGGACCCTCCCTGCCAGGAGTCCCACGGACGTGACCGTGGCAAACCGCCGAACAATGTCAGCATCACACCTCATTGAACAAAACATTAAAACACTTCCCTTCCTTGGATTAAGTGCGTCTATTAATAATGACCTAAATTGTCTGCGCTGATTTGTCATGATGGAGGAAT